TATATATATATATATATATATATATATTGTTAAATTGTTTTTAGAAATAATACGTTTTACAGTGAAATTTTTAATAGGTCATAACGAGTTTTATCGTTTTATTAAAAAAAATTTTACAAAGAAAAAAAAATAACATCGTGGAATAAATTAATCTACAATCTTTTCAAAACCTCTTTTTATAACAATTAAATAACCTGTTTCCCTACAAAAGGATATTTTTAATAAAAGGAGAAAAACATATTAAAAATAGATTTTTTAGAATATAATTCTAACGTAATATTTATATTTTTTATAAAAATAGTTGATTAAAAATAAGCTCGACCACCCCCTATAGAAAATACTTGACGACTTCTTGAGAGTTGGTATTCGTTAATATTAGTATTAAACGACAAGGTATTAAAAGGCTTAAAAGATATTAATAGATACAAAATTTAACGGCGGACATGGATTTTTTTATTGATTTAGAAAGATGAGAAATTTTTCCAAAGAAAAAATTTTTATAGTAGGTAATTTAAATAATCGATAAAACTTATTTTTTAAACGAAATTCAATCTATAATCGAAAATACGTTTTTAATCGATGTTTTTATCGATTTTATCGATTTTATCGATGTCATTGAAATATTTAGAGTTAAAGAATTAATAGATTCGCTAACTCTGATTTTATGAAGGAAATTAAACTTAGTTTTAATTAACCTATTCAATTTTAACGAATAAATTAAAACGAAATTTTAATTAATTAAATTTTATCGTCAATTCGAAATCCATTTACATAATATTAAGTGGATTTCCCTACGTTAGATATAATGTAAAAACTAACTATCTATCTTATAGACCAAACACAGCGAAGAATTTAATCTCGTTAATTCAATCGAATTCGATTCGTACAAAATTATACATTTCGTGCCTATCAAATATCCAATTGACTCGAATCGGATTCAAACGACGAACAATGTTAGCGCAAAATTTCAAATCTTGCGTTATGTCGATTAAAACTTAGTTCGTTCAACTTTGAATATCGAATGCATTTGTTTTTTTTTTCTTTTCATTCTCTCTTTCTTCTTTTAATTTTCCAACGGAGAGATCTATCTAAAAAGAGACGCGCGATTTTTTCCCCAAAACTTATTAAAACGATATTTTTCTCGATACTTTTCTTCACGACTCTCGAGAGATTTTTCGTATGACAAATAGAGACCGTTATCTCGTCCCTGAAAAGAATGGTTTCTTTAAATTGAATGGTATACACGCGTATCGTTGTATTTGTAGATAGCCGTGGTTGGATCTGAAATACCATTTGCTTGAAATATTTTATTTTTCCCGGTTTTATTCAACACGCGCGATAAATGTAAGAAATATTTGTGAAAAGGATGAGATGAAAAACTATTTGTTTTTTAATATCGTTGGAAACGAAGAGATCGACTTACGATAATGTTTGCTCGAATACGAAGTGAAAACGCTATTTGCAGACGTAACGTTTCACAGATTATTATACGCGTTTAAATATGTCCTTTCCATTGAATTATATTTTATTTTTATCTTATCATACCTATCTATTTCGATATCTTTTCACCGTGATCGTAAGATACATAAATTATTAAACGTTTTATTCGAAGAAATGGCGTTATTACGACAACATGCTGTCGGCACCAGGTATTTATCGTTAATTTTTCCTTCTTCTTTTTTTATTTTAAAAATTGTAAAATGCTGTTTAAAGTTGCATCAAAGTTGTCTATGGGTGGAAGCGTAACATCTCGATTCGTGTTCCCATTCAAAATTGATTACTTAATTTTGCGAAAATTCGACAAAACTCCTTGTTAGTAACGATTTTCGATAAACATGTTTGCACCGAGGTACAAGAACAATTCTGAATTATTAACATTCGATTCGATTATTCGTTGAACCGTGAGAATCGAACCTTGGCGAATCGACTCCGTGATTTTGATCGATATCACGATGCATTATGAGGAAAATTTTGCTTAGGTAGATTCGCGGATTCGATCGAGCGCGTAACGCGTGTCTATCAGCGTTCTATCGACCACACGTTTGCTCGTTTTGCAACTGCTCTCTCGGTTATTATCTACTTACCATTACCTCTTTAATATCTCGATTCGGATCGTTTCGTTTCATCGGATCAAAAAAAAAAAAAAAAAAAAAGAAGAAAAAAACGAATCATCATCACGCATATTAATATTTTTATAATTACTCGATCCGATTTTTTCTCCACTTTTTTTTTTTGTAAAAATCTTAAACTCGACGGCACGAAATTCACGAAGAACGATTCAAGGTTATCGAAAAACGATAACTTTCTATATTTCGTTTTATTCTCTCTTTTTCTCTACGTTCGTAATAAATAAATATCGGCGGTTCTTTGGCCGAAGTAAAAAGTTCTTTTACCCAAATTATACATCGATGGAATATCTCGGAATGGGATCAAACTCGCAACGCGGTTTAAAAACAAATTCGAAAAAGGAAAAAAAGAAAAAAAAAAAAATGGAAAAAGAATCGAAGAAACGTCCCGGTGAATTATTTATCAGGCATGTACCGGGTGAGATATTGAAATAAGTGCAGCACGCGACGATGAATTGGCGTTTTATGGATGGGTTGCTCGTGTATCCTTGACCATAATTGTCCTGTGTCCCTTCGTGTATACGCATCGCGAATTCCGCCATACATTACGATGCAACGTGTCTCACGCGTCGATATAAACGAACGCGTTCTACCGTTCCGTCGTTCACTTTTTTTTTTTTCTAGAAAAGGAAGGAAGGGAAGGAGGAGGAAACGAAAAAAAAAAAAAAAAAAAATTACGGGTAGAAATAATACAGCGTGGCGAGCGAAACGTTGCGAAAATTGCAACCCATTCGGCAATTACGCGATCGCAAGGAACGAAGCTTGAAAAATTTCTCATGTCCCTTAATTACGTTTTTTCTCGAGAAATTGCTTATTTTTCTAGATCTAGATAGTAGAGATTTCCGGTTACTCGTGTTTTAAACTCGTGCCGGATCTCCGTTTTATTAATATAAGTCGAAAAGTTTAAAAAGATTTACTGAGAAAAATAATACTTTCGAAATGATTACATATATATATATATATATATATATATCTGATCAAATTTTGTTCTTTTTGTTACAGGCCTAGCCCGCGTGAATTACAGGACCCGCTTTGGGTCAAAATGAGTGCGATTACTGGCAGCATCAGCAAAAAAAGAAAGAAATCAGATGCCAAGCCTCAGTCGCAAATGTAAGTATCGTTATCGAATTTTAATATAATTCCGACCGATATATATATATATATATCGATTTATCGTAACATCGATATGAGAAATTAGTACGTAATTTGAAGTTGGTTTGCATTATCGGTGAAGATCATTCGGTGGAGGAATTTTAAAAGAAAAGAAAGGAACATGTTCCGCTATCGATATCATCGGACCATCTAATGACTCATACAGACGTATTTATACCAGTTCGTACACTAGACTAGGTAGTTAGAGATAGTCGAATTACCCGTGCCAGTATATTCGGTATAACCTCTGTTCCCAAATAACCGTTTTCTCTTCTTTATTATCTATCGCATTTCCCTTCGAAAAATATTTTTCTTTCCTCTTTCGTCATCGTAAACTCTATTATCGTAAACTCTATTTCGTCATCGTTATTCGTATATTCGTATATCCTTTTCCCTGAGAAATCAACGAGAATCCCAAGTTACGTTCGATCAATCATAGTTAAATTCGCGTAATAAATGGTTATAAACGAGCGCGTATACTTCCGTACTTTTATTGGACTCGAGTCCTTTGCATATTCATCGACCGTGTTATATGCGTAAAAAGCGGCCGTAATTATCGGACTTAAACGCGATAAGTAAAGCGAACGTTTAACATGTAGCATGGGTCCATTTTAATTTGATACCTATCTAGTTCGTCGGGAAGTTAAATCATGCGTATCCGCTGCTCGTGTCAGTGTCGAACCAGTGGTTAGTTTTCGAACCGATAACAGCTCGCTTCGCTGCTTGCTTCGATGAAACAACAGATCATTGAAAAATTCTTTTCGTAACGTAACGATGTATTTCGATTAATCATTTTGGGGGAGCCGAGAAAAAGAAATGATAACGATTATTTTTCCAACGAAACGTCCAGAAAAAGGAGAAAAATAACGAATCTGTACACGAGTTTTACACGTTTGATATTATTATTTGGAGATATTTATTTCAAATAACGAATAATTTTAGAGATAATTTTTAATAAACGATTTATCTATATTTTTGGGAATCGTCATTTTTGAAATCGTGCTTCGATCAAATCATGCTTGTATGATATACGCTGCCGTTTCTCAAAGAGATCCAGAAATCGAAATAAGAAGTTTAAAAAAGATTATATCTTTCTTAGTTGATTAAATCGTGGGCAAGTTCTAAAAATTGAGTAAAAATAAATAATTAATATTAAGCATGGTGGAAGAGGAAAATGGTAATTGCGTTTTACGATATATAAATTAAAATGCATCCACGGAGAAAGAATCTTTTACCATTTCTGAACGATTGGAAGGTAGCTTTATTCATCAACGAACCAAGTTATTTATCCGTAAAGAAAATTAATTTTCGATATACGTGTAAATTGTTTATTTATATTTTGTTTCCGTCCGTTTTTTTCCCCCTGTTCATAGTTAGCGCAAAATTGCTTAGTAGGCAATTACGCGTTAAAATATATTGAAACGAAAACGTCGAATGAAAAGGATTGTTGCCAAGAGCAAAAAGCGAATTCCAATTAATTCAGCGACCAACTAAAAAACAACTGTTAAAAACGTTTTGAAATTTTTCATTATTCGAAAATAGATTTTTTTTTTTTTTTTTTCTGCATATTTAAACGTACAAGAAGAGATACTATTCTCTCGTTCACGTTTTTATATCAATTTCATTTGGAAAAAAAAATGCGCGCTTTTTATAAATGCGTGTTTCCTATTATTATATAAATAAGTCAAGGTATATTGTGTTTCACGATATAATAAAGGAAAAATATCATTTTAACGAACAAGACAGAGAATATAAATCTATATAACCACTTATCTATTCGAATCATAGCAATCGAATCGAACGAATTATTATCATTTTCACAAATTCACGATGGAAATATTATTATCGGCTTATCGGCTAATCGTATATAAAATCGGTTCGTGGTTTCACAAACGTGTAAAAATTATTCGGAATTTAAGGGTTAAACTTTTCGTGTAAAATAATATTTAATACGCGTCAATTTAAAGACTGAAGCTAGTCGAATACTACACATCGTGATCGTGATTTTTTAATCAATCAATTGCTCTTTCGTATCGTTAAAACCGAATTCTGCGTAATTCTACGTTTTATAATCACGAATCCGAAGAATTTGTCCACCTGCAACCTAATAAAAAACAACACGGATGGTCAACAATCGTATAAATTTTCGAATGCGTCAATGTCGAACGTGGAAATACATCGATGTATCAATTTTCCTCGAACCATTCGTTCGGATTCGACGAATCGATTACGTTCGCGTGCAAAAACGTGCAAGAATCATCCATCATTCGTGCTAGGAGCGAATAGTTTTTAATCGATTTCTTCGTCATCGTCTCGGAATTAATTTATCGATGGCCCCGAATTTTTAAAAAAAAATCTGTCGGCTTATCAAACGTTATCTGAATCAATTCTGGCGACAACCAGATCCCCCGACTGACGACTGGAATTTCGTATATTGCGAGCTCGCTATCTACGATTTCTGATTGCGCGTGATTACGTTTCGATTTTTCTTTAAAAAGAAAAAAAAAGAAAGAACGATGAAGAGGAGAGAGAGAGAAAAAGAGGGAATCAGAGAGAAAGAAAGAAAGAAAGAAAGAAAGAAAGAAAGAGAGAAAGAGAGAGGGAGAATCCCTGTAGAAAACTCGAGAGATGGCGAGAATCCGATCAGGCAACTGGATTCGCATGAAAATGCGGCCTTTGGCAAAGTGAGAGTCACTGTTCGGCGACGTGACGTCAACCAAGGTCAACCGAACGTTTCAACGGGACTGAAGAGTTGATTCAGCATCTAGCAATTTTCTTTCTATGAAATTGGCCGAGCGAACGAGACTCGAGTCGAGATCCGTTCGAGGGGGAAATGATTTCCGGAATGCGATGCGATGCGATCCTCCATGTCCTAATTTTCTTTCGCATGTTTTTCCCCCAAGTTGACGCGCTTCTTTTCGAATATATTTTCGAGTATATTATTCTTTGAAACATTTCTTTCTCGATCGTAGTTTGCCAGTTTATCCTCCCGAAGATTTAATCTAATAAAATTTCGCGAACTTTGCCGATGGAGTGTATAGCGAATAGAGGAGTCGCCGAGTCGATGGTCCGAAATTACGACGAATTTTGAGATAGGATTGATTTTTTTTTTCTTCTTTCGATCTTTGAAAATAAAAATTGTTCGCTTTTAATATTTTATTCAAGTTGAAAAAGAATTTTACCGTACTCTTTGTAATATTTTTTTTTTTTTTTTTTTTTTAAAGATAAAATAGACGGTGTAAAATAGACGGAGTAGTAATCGAAGATAATACGACAAATAGAGCAGGCTTAATCGGAAGAATAAATCACCATTGAAATGACAATATCCACTTGTGGGAAATGGCAATTAAGCGCACAGGAAGCCTCCCGTGTAGAACATAGTAATCAATGCTAGAGGCAATTTATCCGAATATTAAAATGTAAAACTTAAATTCCGGTTATTCCAATATTTTGTATCGTTTAGAATCAAACGATTAATCTCGTATTCGTATTTTTCTTCTTCTTTTTTCCCGTTATCCATGAATGTATTAAGAATAGTTAATTAAAAAAAAAAAAAAAAAATATTTCTTAGCTAGAAAGATAGAAAGTGATTCTATAAAAAATCTTTTATGGTGTTCAACACCGTCGAGAATTTTAGATTTCCCGTAAAACTTTGAAAACGGGTCAAAAAGTCGTATCGTTCAATTATGGAAAAAGTAGCGATTGCGATTAAAATATTTCGAAAAAATATTTTTTCCTTCTTTCTTCTTTCCTTTCCTCTTTCTCGTTTTATTGTTAAAAAAACTTGATTATTCTCCAGTGAATAAAATAAAACAAAGTTTATAGCACAAATTTTTAATTTAATTACTTTAATATCGTTTTCTATATTCGTTTATTACAAATGCGATCTCTTTTAAATAAAAAAAATTCGAACGAATATCTACGAATATCTCTCGTGCTTGAAAAACGTGCAAGATATGTTTATCTTCGTTAATCGTTGATCAATCGTTTCGTTTCGTCGATTAATTAAACGGATTTTCGATTTTAACGTGGAATAATGATTTGATACGTTCGATTAAATGAAAGGGCGAAAAAAGGAGAAGAAAAATTGGAATTTTTGAGGAAGAAAGTTACGTATGTAAGAATAAGGAATAAGAAGGATCGAACGATCGAATGATCCGTTTCATTTTGATTGTTTACAGTAACAAGTGCCTTAACGAAAAAAGACGACGGAACCAGGAGAACCTGTTTATCGATGAGCTTGCCGAGCTGATTTCCGCCACGGACATGAGCTCTGGCAAGACTGACAAATGCCAGATCCTTCAGAGAACCGTCGACCAGGTAAGAAGACAGATCTCTCTCCACCGTTTCTGCCTTTCAAATGGTTGATCGATAAACTCAACGGCGCGAGTCCTTCGAGATCCGATCGAACAACGTGTCATTTTTTTACGACATCCACCGTCGTACGTAATCCTCCAGCCTTTCCTTCGCTTTTTCTTCGAGAAAGAAAATTGCCCAATCCCTTTTCCATTATATTTAACAACGATATAACGGTGTTTAGAAATATTTCTATCCTCTCCCCGTTAAACATTTTATCTCCTTTTATTCGTTTAACATTTGATATATAAAACGTAATTCGTTCTTTTTTTTTTAATCCTTTTATGTTTATTATTATCAAAATAGAAGAAACGAAAACGCGTAAAAAAAGAAAAGAAAAAATAGATTAAATGGATTAAATCTTGATTTGAAAATAACCTTCCTACAATTTTTCCAGACACAACACATTAACACCCAATGGTTTAACAAGCAAAATGTTACCACAACATTTGTTACATCACCGAGGATAATGTTGCAATTTGTTCCTTCCCGATCCTACCAACCTACAACGAAATCTGAAAGAAACGGAAGCGAATCATTGTTAAATCAACGAAAGAGGGTAGCGTCAAATAACGGAAAATAGCGTCGAGTAGCAGAGAGTAGTTGATTATGCGCGTTATGAAAAAAAAAAAAAAATAATAATAATAATGATAATGTGGATAATTCTCATCGATGCAGCTATTCCTTCGTTTTTTAACGAAACAATTTTATTTCCAATTTTTAATTTCTAATAATCGTTACAATTCGATCAATTCTCGGATGATAATAATACGATTTATTTTTGTATCCGTTTTGTTCCGTGGAAAAAAGGAGAAAGAAAAGAAAGGAAGGCGCACAAAGTGCGGCTTTTTTTTTTTATCCTTTTTTATCCTTACAATAATGCGAGAAAACGAAGCGGAACACGGTTCCCCCCCGTTGTGTCGCAAGCGTTCGTTCGATTTGATGTAAATTACACGTCTGAATATGGCAAATTTGAAAGAACGCGAGAACATTTCGTTTTTTCTTCATTCTCTATAGAAAATTTTCTTCGTAATCGGTCTCGTCGTTCGTTTTTCTCCCTTTTATCCTCTCGTCAATCTCGTTGATTTTCCGGAAAGAGAGAGTA